AGGAGAACCTCCCTCGACCTGCTGGCCACACTCCTCTGAGTGCACCCCAGGATCCCATTGGCTTTCTTGGCAGCCAGCGCACACTGCTGGCTCATGGTCAACCTGTCATCCACCAGAACACCCAGATCCCTCTCCGCAGAGCTGCTCTCCAGCAGGTCCACCCCAAGCCTGTACTGTTCCCAGGCCTAGCCCTGCCAATGCCTACGTGTGTGAGCAGGAGCATAGCAAATGCCACCGACCTCAGTGAAACTGGACGAGATCCCGTCACCAGCATAAAAAGGTCCCCAGCCAGTGCTGGGACACCTGGTGCCTCACTGCAGCATGGTCCCTGCCACCAGACAGCAATGTCCCCTCGCGCTCCAGAGGCTGAGAGCCACTGATGCCTTCGAAAGCCGTTGAGAAGGTGCTGGCACGCACTTGCACTTGAGAAAACTCGCCACGGGCTCTTGTCACTTCTAGTCTACCTGTTAATTTTAAACACATATGTATGTATACATACAGACACACACATATACATAACACTAGTCACATATCAGTACATTATTATATGATACACTATATCATTGATATGATAGTAACAAATACATTTACTTAAGGGTATGTAATTATGAATATTATACATACTATGAAGAAGGCTGTTTATTTATAGATAATACAAAAGACTGACTGGGATGTTACCAAGGAGCTTGAGAACGTGGTGGTCTTCAGAGCCATCCTCAGGGAAGAGTACGGTCCAAGAGTTGTCACATGCGAAAAGTATCAAGGCAATAAACTTAGCACGTAAACGTGCAGCTAGTGAGCTGCCTCTCTCACGTCTTATCTGATGCCCGGCTTCTCAGCTCTGTACCTACAGTTTATTTCCTCAGATTTAGGAATCTCAAGGCTCTGTTCTATTACAGTTACATTTTTAAACCTTCTGCTGTGATACTGGGGACAAAATTCTCTTTATTTCCATGCAATGTAGCAAGTTTTTCATGTAAAGGCTCTTATCTTAACAGTTATCATGATAAGAGAAATTGTCTTCTAGGGTTTTTTTGATAAGTGTATTGCTATCAGGCAATAATTTTTCCTGCCTGATATATGTTAAGCTAATTGCCCACATAATTACAATCAGAAAAGATGCCTGTCCACCCCAGACTTACGGTCACAGTCACTGGTGTTTATGAGCTTTACGAAGCTAATTTTAGATTTAGATTCCTCACCACACTGCTTGTCATGAGAAGTACAAAGCAAACTGATTTACTGTAGTATGTGAAATTAGGTGTTTTCAAGGATGAGGAACTTGCTCAACAGTTCTACTCCCCTAAATATTTGGGCAGGGGGAAGGTGGGAGACCAGTTGCCCTCAGAACCAAAACCCTTGCGTCTGGCTGCGGGTCGGGTACAAAGCAGGCACCAACCGTGGCCTCGCCATCGCCTCGGGGACCTCCTGAGGGGCCTGGGGAGATGGCTGTTGGTTGGGTGTCCACCTTCTGGTCTCCTTCTCAGCAACTGGGTGGCATTGGCTTCATGCCGTGAACAATCTCAGCTGGCACTGAGCAGGCCAGGCGGGTGAGGTTCGGCAGGTGAGCAGTCAGAGCTGGCAGCGCCAGGGTGGCTTCGCTGCCGCTGTGCACCTTGCACACAACCCCCATGGCTCTCCCAGGAGCTCCCTTCTTCCCTTCTCCCATGGCCCTGGGGCAAAGCGCTCCCCGGCTCAGCCGGCATCGCCAGCCCCGTCTCCGGGCGCGTGGGCTCTGCCCGCGCGGGCAGAAGCTGCACGCCCCGGCGAAGCGCCCGTCCCACTCAGCTGTCACCCGCTGCCTGTCCCCAACTGGGTGTGTTATTAAGCCACGTCGTCAGCGTGGGAGTCCCGCTGAAAGGAACTTTTCCTTGCAGCGAGTGTAACATTTTGAATAAATCATTCGAGCTGTCGGAGGGCTGAGAGGTACCTCTGAGTCAGCCTTACCAGCCCGAGGAGCTCAGCTTTTAGGCTTCTCTGCAGTGCTGTGCGTGGGCACCCAAAAGGTGTGATTCCCATGGGGAGTCCCCAGTGCCCACGGGTGGTGGCCTCTCCGCTCACAAGGCGGTGGTGGATGCCGTGGGGAAGCCCACAGCATCCCTCGCTCTGGGGCTGCTCTTCAGACGGCCAGGGAGGGGGCTGGCACTGGTCCAGGGCACCGCAGGCGATGGGAGCCCCCCACTCCCCCCCCACGCCCGGCGGGGTGTCGCTGGAGTCGGGCAGGTCCTTGGCGTGACGCACGGGGGAACGTGTGGGACATTCTGCCTTTGATTTTTTTAAAGAGAAAAACTGCATGCTGACACAAAGCAATCTTGGAATATTAAAATCGCAGGCTTAAAACGCCCAGAAATGTGGAAATGAGGGAATCAGGGCTGTCTGCTTGGCTGGCGCCGGTGGCTTTGTACCTCTGTGCTTCCCTCGCTGCATCCCGTCGGATGCTGAGTGCGCGCTGCTGGCAGGCGGCACCGTATCGAGCTGTTAACGAGCGTCAGTGCATGTGCGCTTCGTGGCGCAATGAAATTTGTTTAATGCAGTCCGTATGTGTGCTCCCTGCAGCACAGCGTGGCTGGAGGAGGGCGGGATGGAATGAGAAACCTCTGTCCCGTGGCAAGGGGATGCTGCGCAAAGGGAGGTCGGGTGAGGTGACACACAGAGATCCCTTCCAGCCTGCACCACCGTGGGACCCTGCGGTCCCCGGGTCCTGCCACGTGGCTGACGGGCTGCTCTGCGCCTGGTGGCCACGCAGGAATCGGGGCGAGCAGAAAACCCCGCACAGCGAACACCGCAAAACGTGATGCTGCAGGCCAGCGTAGTTTCACAACAGATGCCTTCATGAAATGGGAGTAAACGGAGAACATGTGTCACTGATGGAGATTTACGCAGCAACACGGACCATTACGTTTCGCTCTTAACTGTGGGTGGACTGGGAAATGCAATGGGGTTGGCTCCGTCGGCTGCTCGCCAGCCCTTGTGCTGCAGCTCGTGGGGATCTCCGGCGGTGGAGGGAGGTGGGCAGCGCTCCCCGCATCCCCGCCGCTCATCCGAATCCAGGAACAGGCTGCTCCGCGGGGCT